GGATATATTAGTGCTTAGCAATAAATATATGATCCTTGTTTGTTTGTGAAAGGACGTAGATAAACGCGCAAGTTGAACCCTCATTACCGTCTATGTTCTGAATTGCGAAGTGGGTTAAGAGCTTTTACTTTACTTTTAGTTATGAAGTGCGAAAGATATTTGTCTACAGCAGTACGTCTAATAAAACTAATTTAATTTTTTCAAACAAGAGTCCAATTTCCTAATTAGCGAGTCATATATATGAGTGTAGTAGTCCGCAGTCAACGAATATTAAATAGTAAGACAGCAATTTAAAATGCTGCGCCAGAAAGCGGATTTTCGTTTATTTTGCTTATCTGTTATAGAATGATTTTATAAGCTCTGAGTGAGACACAAATAGGACATTTTAATTATGGAGTCTTTTGTCATATTTGTTTCCCTATGACTGAGTCTATTCTGAATGTGGGCGTGGAATAAAGATTGTCTCAGGTCAATTCAAATGATTTCAAATTGTTTCAATCTTTCTTGAAATATTTCGCAAGATCTTTCTTTGAAATTGATTTGAAAGATGTTCAAAATTCTCACATGCAACGCATCTGGTAAGCGGGCAAAGTATTTGCAGCTGTATTGACAATGATTTATACCATAATGATGATGGACTGGACACATAACTACTGCTAGTTAAACTTTTATTGTGATGTTAGTTGATTTTCGATCCATATTACTACTAAAAGTGTTACGACTAGAATAAACTAGCTATGTTGATGTGTGCTGTTCAATTTGTAGGACCAATGACATCTATTTCTGAATAGTCCGCGTTATGTAATCTGATTAGCCTAGCTGTTTTTGATACTTTCTGTTAGCGAAAGGTAGAAATATCACGATATATAAAGAAATCATAAAGTCTTGAAAAATGATACAAAAATTTTACACAATTTTGAAAAGTCTTTCGAATACTGATGAAAGTTCTTGAAAGTCTTCATTGTTATTGCAAAGACATCTGGAGAGCTTCGAGCTCGTTGTACCTTTAAGAGACTTCATGAGTGATATTTTCGCTTTCGATAACATGTTGCTTGAATATATAAAAAAACATATTTCAGTCAAGATACAGTAGGTTACATAATTACATTGTGATTTACCATAGCTCTTTAATGTGCACCAGCAACAAGTGTACGCAGGTGAGAACCAAAAGGGAACAAAAAGTATCTGTATTTCCGAATTCTTGTGTTTCAAAATATTTCAACTGCTTTTCTACATTTTTCAATGTATTTCGAAATCCTGAGAAAGCCACGAAAATGTGTAAAATACAAGGGGGAAAAGGCGTACTCCGGTACTCCGGTACTCCGAGGACTTCATGTACTCCAACTGTACTCCATGGACTTCGTGGACTTCGTGGACTCTCGGAGTACAATGAGAGTACAAAGAGTACAACACATTGAACGATAAGCATAGACTAACAATGTATTGAAGGTTGCTATGGATCATCCTTATTTCTTTGTGATATTTGTTTTTGTAGTAACCGAGATATATTTACTTTCTAAAATCATATTTACTTTATTGTTATTTCAAACTAATCTAATATGAACACGAGTAGAATATAAAATATACTATAGAACTGTATTTGTGATGCGAAAATAATTTTCTTTTTTCAAATGTACCAACATGAGATGAATCGATTTGAACGAAAATCATAACCTACTAATCTAGTTTCTCTATTGTAAAAATATATAAACAGCTACTAACTGAAATATTTGATGTTATTTATGTTAGTGTTCAAAAACATTCGCTCATATGTGTGTAGAAATAATTTACAAAATGAGTCTGCACAATCACGTGAACCTTTTTCAATAATTTGATTCGTTTTATATTCTGTTTAACTAATCGAATCAAACAACATGATGATATACTTCTATATTTCGTAAATCTTTTAAATCTGTCAATACAAAAAGAAATAAGTTTTTTTCAAAAAAAATACAATCAAAACAGTAACTTCTAACTAAACACAAAAAAAAGTTCCTAGTAGTCTTTTCTTCATCGTATCCTATTTTTGAGTTACACGAGTGAGACGATCGTTCGACAAGACCGATTTGTTTTCCGTTAAAATCCAACAAGCAGTTTGTTTGTGTATAAATTTTTTCTTCCGCTTGATTTCCAATTCAAAATAAGATTTTTCTAGTTCAGGACGAACTTTATCGAATACTCGCATACCAGAAAATTTGATTCCATCTATATCATCGAATATTCCATCCGAAGAGATGGTTGATGCTTCATGTTGTTGATCATCATATTGTTGATCTTCACTATCAACATCACTTTCTGAATCTAACATTTCATCTGATTCATTGTCCGAATCTGATGATTCGTCCTCTTCATTTAAATCAGAGTAATCTTGAATATTTATTCTTTGTCTTAATAAACTTTGCATGCAGTTGTTGGCTTCTTTCATATTTGTTATCTTTTTTGTATTAAGAAAATTTTTAATTTTAAAACGAGAAAGTAGATCAACAGCATCATTATATGCTTGGCAAACTACTTTTGCTATTGCTCCTACATTAAGTATATCATTTCCTGGAATTACGTGTTGTGATTGTCTTAATTGTTTTCTCTGCTTATAATGTTTTGGAAAAAGAAGATTTCCACTTGTTGAATAAAACTCACTTTCAGTTTTGAGTTTTTGTAAAAGAGAAAGCTTTTGAGCACGATTAAGAAATTCTTGTACACCAAAATTTACAACCGAGGAAAATGTTCCAGACATTGAACGAGCTGAGCGAAACATTCCTTCGCACGTCTGAGAACTGAATAAATAAATATTCATAACTTCTGGTGGTAATTTGTTTTCTGTAACTAATAAAGCAAGATATGTAAGTTGGTGAGCATTAATTTCTATGCAATAGTAAGCGTTGTTGGTAATGAAAAATTGTTTCTTTTTTTTCTTTTTTTTTATTCGTTGTAATACCACTAAGTTCGTAAAGGCTTTTTTCTAAATTAACTTTTGGCATATAATCGATCCAGATATACCACAATCGACTAACAAAAACTGAGAACCATGCATGATATAGTCGATTGATGGGTGTTGTTAATTTTTCTATGTATGCAATCATTATTGAACGAAGTAAATGAATATACATAATTATGCCTTCAGAGTCATGAATTTCAGTTAAACAGTTAGTTACATCATCACTACATATTTTAACACAAGAACTAAAATTTTGACGATCTTGCGGGAAAATGTCAGATTTTACTAAACCGTGTCGTAATTTTGGGATATTTCGAATTAATGTTGAGAGATAATTAATAGAAATACAATGGTTGCCGATTAACATATTAGCTGTGCGAGATAGTAGTCGATTACGTAACTTTGTACAAAGATGTGTAGCATCTTGAAAGCATAAAAACAGATGACTGTCACCAAGAAAATACCAATTCCAATCTTTTGGAATTTTAACATGAAATGCATTTGTGTAACTATTTAATTTAATGTTTGGTAGTGAAGCAAAAAAGCCGGTTACAAGACGCATTGCACGCATATATTTTGGATCACCATCAGTTGAAAATCCAACAATACGAATATCTTGTAATGAGCTTTGCTCGAATATCCATATCCATCGACGAATAATATCAATGGCTTCATATTTGTTATTTGTTCCAAATGCAGAAAGTAAAAACGGGTTAGGTGCTATCTGCATATTAGTAATAGGCTGAATCATATGAATATTAATAAGATGTGAACGATCTTCATTAGAAAACCATTCACGAAGTTTTTTAAAAGAGTCTGTTTGGTAGTGTAGGGTAGTAGGTATTCCATCATTTAAAGGTGGTACTAGGCCAACAAATGAGTTAGTAAAACTGTCATAAGATATCTTCTTAATAACTGCTGTGCAGTCTTCTGCAGCAAATGCAATATTTGTTTTAAGCGAATTCATGTGTGCTGATAACGAATCAAAACGAAATTCAGCTTCTTTCATTCGATGCTGTTTATTTAAAGGATGCCCTTGAAGAGTAGATAATGCTGGAAGAACACCTGGTACATTCAGTCGTACGAATTCATAAGCTATATTTCCGCTTAATACATGGAAAGCCATTGCAAATCGAAGTACAGGTTCATTATAACGATAAGCATTTTTTGAGCGACATAAATTACTGCTAATGTTATCAAGAAAATAATTTAAAAAAGATGTATTTTCAGAGTTATCTTCGTTATTTTGATCATCAATCGTTCGATATAAATTAATTAAACATTTTAACATAGGATGCTTTTGAAGGAAACTTGATGGCAGAATCATATCATCATTTAATACTATTGATTCTGTCATTCGTTGATTATTATTGCTAAATGTTTTTAAATCTCGAATTAAACATTCCAATGAGTTTCTAACACCCCATTTCACTTCAACTAAACCATTTTCATGTTGGAAAGCTAATTTTTTTTTATTGGCATTTAATTTTTCTGAATTGAATTCCAAATAATCAAATAAATTTTCTACTCCCAGCAATGACTGAACCGATGAAATATCTAATAATTTCATAAATTCTACGACATTATCACCACATCTTTCTTTAACTAGTTGGTAAAAATTGTCATAACTATAGTTCAGAACATCTGATGGTAAAGATTTAAACATTCTTTTTTTAATAACCAAATCTATTTCCAATATCCAATTATTAATATCTGAATCACCTACGCTTAATCAAGAAATATCTATTCGATAGAGTTCGTAAAAATTAATCTAGAAGAGATAGATACATTTAATAATGTTTACTAATGACAATTTTAGAAAAAAATCAAGAAGTTGATTAATATAGTCTATGTTATTATTGAGTATGTAAATTATTCAAATAAAAAGTATGAAATTTTTCAGATAGAAATTATATTCCTTGTAATAAGCTGCCATTACAAATTTTAATACCTCTTGATTAGATTATTTATTGAAGAGCGAAGAATAAAATAGTGCTAAAAATATATTTGAACTGAAGATTGCTCTCGATAGCAAAGTGACATGAAAATATTCTTGAATATTTCTAAAATTACTTATAACTCTACAGCAATATAGCAACTGCTAATAATGGTAAAATCAGTATTATAAGTGATAAAATACTTATAAAAGCATTAAAGTCTAAACAGAAAATAGTTTTTTCTCTCCCGAAAGCCAAGTTGAATTCCATAATGATCTAAATCGCCAATGAAACGTTACTTGTTTTTACTAATACGTTTATCTATGTTATTCATTATATGTTTAAAAAATTAATCTAAATCCATTGTAGTCAGTGATAAAATACGTATGATATGATATCCTAAAAGATGTAATAGTGGAAAAATCATGTTATATGTAATATTTATTATAAAGAACATAGTATACTATTTTTTAATAATACAATAGTGAAAATAAATGTGTCAGTTCAAAAATCGTAAATAAGTAAGTTATGATTAATGATAAAATGTGTATATTATAAAAATGTTCTAATAAAACTATTTGCAAAAGCTAAAATCTAATCCTAAATTTTAATCATTTTGAATGAGTTTGATAAGCGCGCTTTTTCTTAGCAGCATCACATGGAGCAGAACGTTTGAGACCACTTTCTATTAAATTAAAAGGCAATATATTATTCATATGTTAGACAAAATTTAAAAAAAATACCTTCATGTGATGTTACACTAATACTGCCTCTTGAATCATTTTCATTTGCAACACTTTTGTTAGATGTAGTTATTCGTTTACTCTTTTTGACAGTTGTACACGAAAGTGATACTAAGTGCTTATAAAAGTTTGACAATTGAAAGTTTTTCTGAAATTTCACAAGAGCTATTTTACTGCCACATTTACATCTTATAGTTGCCGTAAAATTTGTATCACTTGATGTTATAAGAAACAAATGATAATCAACACCTTCGGTTAATAATAATTTTGAAGAATATTTTTGACACCAATTACTGATGGAATTTGTGATAAAGCTTCGATGATAACTTTCATTGACGAGCATAGCAGGTGCAGATGATTGAACGATATTAGTTGTATTAGATGGTAATAACTGTTGTTGTCGAGAAGATGAAGGCTCAGTCGTAATCGACGAGTCAGTATTAATAGCCAAAACAACAGAAGTATATCGCTTGTTTTGTTTTCTTGACAATTTAATGTCTTCATCTTTCTTTTGAATAATTAATTCACAAAAATAATTCATTGAACTCTTGATGCCGGGTTTAACAATATATATATCATCGTCTGATTTCAAACATAATTTCTCTTTTAAAGAATTTAAAGCAGCACATTTAATATCCAAAATGGCAAAAACATCTGATATAAGTATAAGCGAATCAGGACTACGAATAGATTGTATTTCGAGCAACTCTGATGCACTTTCACCTATAAAATGTTTGGCAACATTGTAAAATTTTGCATCAGTATATGAAAGAAAATCATCCGGAAGCAATGAAGTATTAATACGACGTTTGAATGTAGTCATTAAATCGAATTGAAGAGACCAACTTGGTGAAGCACGTGAAAATATATCTATTCTTGTCGATAAACGAGGTTGAAATGAAAATATACATTTATCACGTTTTGTTTTCTTCTTTTTCTTCTTACCCGTCTAGACATTTCACCTGCATTTCACGCAAACGGATATAAGAAAACAACACAATATCTTATATGGTGATTTTCCCTATAGAAGCTCTCTCTTTATTGTGTATATTATCTCTTCTTACTATTCTATGATAATTTTCGAAAAATAGAAGTTCACTTGACTTGTTTAATAATTATGAAATTTATTGTAACTTGCAATCTCTGTACTTTAATTGTACTTCGTGTACTCTACTGGACTTCGTGTACTCCATTGTACTCCACGTACTTCATGGACTCCATGGACTCTAGAAGTACCGGAGTACGCCTTTTCCCCCTTGAAGAATATTCTGTTGTTGTTTTTCTTTAAGTTTCTCGTGTCGTCCTTTGTTTCGACGTGTAATAGCTGTTGAAGAACGATGTTGAGATTGAGGAGACTTAACTTGTTTGGCAATGATAACATCAAAATATTGAATAATGGTGGTATCGAGAATGTTGTTATATTGGTGTTGTAAATTTAGATGATCACGATGAAGATGTTCTGGAGTAATATGAAAGTCGATAAAAGAAAATCCAAGTCGACGCGATAATATCTGTAACTGTTGATTGTACAAATTGATGTTATTTAATAGTAAATCACTCGTTGGAAAACGAGATGATACTTTCAAATAAGGAAAGGTAGCAGCGATAGTAATTTTATCGACATGATCAATATGATGATGATTTAATCGTATCATATTCACGATTGCTTCGACTTGTTCTATTATTCGTAACGCAGGCGTCGAACGGACCGCATTTGTCCCAATGAAGAACATACCCCTGTACTCTGAAAAAATAATGATGTCATATGGAACTATTTATGGTTCTAGCCAAGATATTGAGCCTTTTAAGGTTTCACTCGCTCATTAATAAACCGTCGACGGTTCTGGCTAGTTTAAAGAGCCATCTCAAACCCTCAATAGTTCCGGATGTTTGAAAAGGTTCCGTCCTACACCACTTTTTTTAATACTGAACCATTTTTTCAAAGATGGTTCTGTCTTAAAGGAAGATACTATAGTATGGGAACGTGATTTAAGTAATATAAATCTTAAACAGGTTACTGAGATCGACGATTCAGAATCCGTTATCATTTTTTCCACCCGAGCTCCCAATGGTCAGATATTAGTCCATTAAAAATTCGACGGCCACAAAGTTAGACTTTTTACTTCGACTCCGATCTCAATTCTGGTCGAAGTTCGGAATAGGTTATCGATGTCCAGGAATCCGAATCCTTAATCATTTTTTCGATGCCAGGGATACGATAGCTGAATGGTAGACCTGGGTAGTTGTGCTTGCAAAATCAATTCAACAATTAGTGGCATCTTTGGAAGTGTGATTGTTCTTTATCTTTTCTGATATGTCACATATATGAATAGACAGGTAATATCAATCTGATAAAATCAATTCAAGATTTTCTATAGTTAGGTATGTATGAATAATTAATTCAAATGCAAGTTTAATATGATAAAATGAATTGGTGTTTCTTTTAATATTTTAGGTATATGCGAATAATTCATTAAATGGTAAGTTGAATCTTACAATATAAGTCACTGCTCTTTTTTGTTTTGTTTAGGATCGTCTCAACAACAACTAACGGCGGTGCCGCTTTCGTGCGAATAACGGACAAAATCCTGGCTCGTATTCTACTCACAACAGATCTAGGTAAATATTACACATAGAAATAAGGGTTAAGTGTAGAATTAAGGTTAAGATTAGAATTTAGGTTAATATTAGAATTTAGGTTAAGGTTAGAATTAAGGGTTAAGGATAGAAATAGTGGTTAAGGATAGAATCAAGGGTTAAGGATAGAAATAAGGGTTATGGTTAGGAATAAGGGGTTACATATGAAATTAATGGTTGGATAAAACATTAGTCTGAAGTACTAGACTAATTGAGTGTGGTGGACTACATTTTACTACTATAGAACTATTTTTGGAAGAAATAGGAAAAAGTTCCAGCTAGAACCAGATTTTGCTTGAGCCTTAAATGGTTCTGAAAATGGTACTCAAATCTAGAACCCTAAAAGGTTCAGTATGACACTTTTTTTCTTTCTGAGTGCTAGTCGAGTAAAACGCACAGAAGTGTCTATATTGAAACATTATTTGTATTCAGAAGAGAAAGGTTCAATACGTGATATTGTTATTAAAGCTATGCATTAGATCCGCTAAAACTCTTTTACTCAAACAGAAGGCTTCATCTGAACGATATTGATTAACCTTTTATGAATATCATGTTGCCTTTAGTACACTAATTATAAGCTTTCTTTATTGAGGTGCGATATTCCAACTTCTTCTATAATACAATATGCCTATGGTTATTGAATGAAGCTTTATTATATATAGGTGAGTGTGCCTTTCGTTTTAATATTTTAATTGTCTTTTTTCATGCGAAGATTGATTTGTATCAAGCAGTAATTTCAATTAGCGGAATTAATAAGAACTGTTCTCCTAATAAATTACTGATTTTCCGTTTAGATTCTGGCAAAAACATCTTCAAAACAAATGAATGGCTGGGTTCGCGGAACTTCGCCAATATGACTTTCGCCAATTGGCGAATGTATGAGGGACATTCGCCAATATTCAAGATAATTCACTCGAAAAGTTCACTATAATAACGACAGGCGTTGACCCATGTTGCGAATACCGGATCATTTTTTGCGATAAACCGCTGTATTTATCCTTCCTGTGGTAAAGGGAGCTGGTAATCGAACCGGTAAAACCGTGGTAAACCGGTGGTTTTTTGCGCATGTTTATCACATGCAAAATTTAAAAAGAAGGGTGTTCAAAATAGTTTAATTGATGATTTGTAACACTTTTGTCAAAGATTATAGACGAACCGGTTAACCAATTTTGTTTAGCGGTAACCGTAGTAAATTCAGGTAAATTTTCACTGATGGGAGCCAGTAACCTGACCGGTAAAATCGCGGTTAGCCGTCGATTTTTATGCGAATTTTGTTACATGGGGAACTGTTCAGCTATGAATCAAAAGTTAATGTTTCTTTGGTAAGTCAGCAAGAACATAATAGAATCTGTATTAGAATAGGGAAGAGTCCATATTATACTGTATATAAATATCATCTGCTCTAATAATTAAGAATGTGAGGAAGTTTTGCCAGTATTGGCGAATGTCCACCTGACTTTCGCCAATTGGCAGGAGTCCAGGACGTATATTGGCGAATGTCCATATGACTTTCGCCAATGACGAAAGCCGACTGGCGAAAGACCGACTGGCGAAGGTCATATTGGCGAACTTCGGGCTACTCAGTAAAACAACTTTTTCTGTATTCATTTCCTATTTTGTTCTGAAGAAGATCAATTTCATCGATCGAAACGTCAATAAATTAACTAATAAACAAGAGAATTATTACGTTAACACATAGGAGGAAGAGGAGAAAATATTATACACAATCATAATAATTGAAATCAATCAACCCCCTCATATAGTCTTCTATAAACCCTTGAGTCAGTTGCAGAGATTCATCTTCCATCTCATATACCCTTTCATAAACCTTTTCGACCATTCGTAACCTCCATAAGCACTTCCAAATGAGTCTCCTGAGGTTGAACTTTGGGTATTGTGTTTTTATCAACCCTTCTAAGGGGCTTATGAAAGTGCAACGTATAGCAAACCCTTCTAGAGTTTATAAAATTTATCAACCCATTCATATACCCTTAAGAATTAGTTTCAGCAACTCATAAACCCTGTATTCATCCCTTTTTTTAGGGTTTATGAAAGGGTTTATAACGCATTAATAAACCCTTTTTTCGTTTTTTATTCTACGGATATTTTTTATAGTGTAGCTGGTATGAATGGGTTCAATCTGGTTGTAACTGATGATTAGTGATATGTTATAACGATGGTGTGGGTGTGTATGTTGGTGTAAATCAGGAGATAATTCATCCACACCCTTTTCTGGATCGCTATTCTTCATATATCTTTTTCACTTTAAACAAGCGCAACTGAATAAACCAAAATTGAACTGTCTTATAAGAATACTGACTCAGATTTTATTATTGTCACATCATAGTAGCATTTTATATAAGAGAACAAGTTTGACTTTTGTCTATAGCGGGTGCACTAGTTATTCGTTTCGGTTGTTGTTGCACACTGTGACCACCAGTTTGAGCAGCCGATATAGGTCGTTCCATGTCGGGCAAGTTTCGCTGAGCCGTCTGCAGCTGTACGTCAGGTACGAATTTTCGTAATCGAGAAAGTAACTCTTGAAATTCTTTGCCTATCCATGTATTGTCATTGTTGCTCTGTTCATTTTTACTGCTAAAATTGATGTATGGTATTTCAGCAAATACGAGTGCCATGGGACCAGGGGGTGGCCATGTACTTGTTTCTTGGAGTAGCAATGGTATGATGGGTATTGATAGAGCATCAGCTAGTGCCATTTCTCGTCGACAATTGATCGATACCGTATATTTAGGTGTGACACAAGCTATTACGCATAGTGAATGACGAATTCCAGTGTCAATTTTTTCGAATAATGAATCTCCACCACCCATTTGAAATATATCAAGCCATACTCGATAGCCCAACAGTGTGAGTCGTTTGTACAAAGCGACAATGTACGATTGATGATCCCATTGATAGGATATCATCAATTGCGGATGCGACACCTCTAAAGGGGTGTCTATCAGTGATGTAGATTCTTTGTTTTCTACTTTCTTGTCGTTCTTGCTTTTCGACAATTGAAGAAATATGAGATTGTCAATTTGAGCGACAAACCAATTGTTGTATTGGCTACTGATCATATCTGTATCTGGGGCCACATGATAGCGAATTTGACCCAGTAGTTCAGCGAATTTCTCTTCAGGCCAATAGTTTACCGTTCCAGCATTTTTGCGATTGAAAAATCGAATAAAGAGATATTCACTCATGATGGGACCAAGAGCACCTTCTGGTGGCCACGGTTGTTTTTCCATTTGAAGCGGAATTATTGGCTTACCTGTACTCACACATGGATGAATTTCACGTGAACAATTGACCGATTGAGCATAAGCTGCTGCCATGCAACATATAACGATTTTTGCCCCACGAATGCCTGCGTCGATTTTAGCGAAGAGTTTATCGCCACCCCCCATCTGCCCGGTATCCATCCAACAAGCATAACCAGCTTGTTCAAGATGACTTTTGAGTGTAGTTACGGCTGCTTGTATGCCCCATTGGTAAGAAAGAAATACGGGCGGGAGACGTTTCATTTCAATGTCAAGTTCTTCAGGAATAACTTTACCAGCAGCAATCACTGCTTCTCGAATAATTTTCTCTGCATCGTGTCGTCCAATATCTTCAAGCATCTTGACAAGACCATAGGTAGTTTCGTCAGTTTCGTGTGTCATATACCATTCGTTGAGTAAAGTCATGCATGGATCAGCCTTCGTAGCCCAATGTCTTAGTTCACTTGTCGAATAACCAAATCGTTTTCCGAGCAGACACCAATTGTTGCTTGCTGGACTATTGAGTAGTTTGCTTACACCAGCACCCCATTCCGGCACATAACTCAATGTTTTGGCATCTATACGTTCGATTTCATGTATATGTACTTGTACTTGTTCGGCAACATCGATTAGACGTGTGTCGACCTCATTGACACAAGTACGAATGTTGGTTATCTAAACAAGAGAAGAGTCCGCATGAATAAATACAATATAAATACTTACAGTAAGTTCTTGTTGTTGAATAACATCACCCACTTGTTGCACATCTTTGCTCAGTTTTTACAGTACGCTTTTCGATCTGTTCCATTTCTGTTTGAGCTTGTTTAATTGTTGCTTGATGTTTTATTGTCATTTTCGTACCATCGATATAATCAATTAACGATTGACAAGCTAGATCGGACTCAAACGCAGTCAAATCATTGCGTCAAGCTACCAGTGCGTTCTTTTATATTACTCCGATCAATTGACATCCACGAAAGATTGATGATCGAATATCATTTGACGTTTTATTATCTTTAAGGAGATATATAAGAGTATTGATATTCTCTTTAGCCGTCTGTTCCCCACGAGTAATAACCGATGCAATGAGGTACTGTAGGAGGCACCCGAATACACATATATCTTGGTGTTCAATGACAAGATGAAGTAATTGTGCACAATACACATCAAACTTTTCTGGTTGATGATTAGCTACGGGAATAAATGCTTGAAAAATGATTCGAGCACTTTTTAGTAATGAAGTGTCTTTTAATGCAGCAAAAATATAGTTGAGATGTTTTGCGGAGATCAAATCAGGATGTACTGTGGCTATTATATCCATAGAAGGTAAGCCAATGATGCCAGATTTTGCGCATTATCGGCTAATAACTCGTTAACAAGATCGTCGAGACGAGCATGAAAAGACTCTGGACGTATTTGGTATAACGTCTATCGAAAAAATTCAATTGTAAGTGCAATAAGGTTTGTTTTACAAATCCTATCAGCAACCGAGTTGGTATGATTTAATATTTTTCTTCTGCGTTCAGTGATATTGCCTTTTTTGTTTTACTCCGTGCAATAAAAAGCTCACTCGAATTTAGAAAAAAACATTTAAATCTAGAACTCTAACAATAATCTGATATGAATTCGAAACTGATTATAATGATCAAATCGATCTAACTGACTGAACAGATCTGACTAGAATATTAAAAAATCGATATCATTATTGTATAGAGATGTTCTTGATGTGCGGCAACGTGAACTCAAATTTATTAAATCAGTTAGTTTTCTTTTTTCTCAGAAATATCTACAAGCTTGGGAAAACTAAAAAAAGAAAGCAGTTAGCAATTATTATTAACATAAAATTACTTCAAAAAAAGAACTAAAATACACTTCTTCTGCTCAGCTCTATTTATTATATCCCATCGTGTACTAAAGAACTTTTTGATCATCTTTTTAAATCACTTACCGGTAATAGCACAAGAAAGCTCATGTCTTTTTCATCAATTGTAATACAAAGAAATTGTTCGACATGATCGGCAGCGACTTGTGGGAATTTCATGCCAACAGTTTGCCAGAAGCTGATCCACCAACACTTCAAATCTTGGTCGTTGTCGTCTTGTGCCCGTGTATAGAGTCGATCAAGGCATGTCTTGTAGAGACGAACATCTTCTTGATTGGCAATGCATAGGCTCACATAGTGCCAAATGTTATTCATAGTCCAGTACTCGAATTTCCTGATTCCATTCTCAGCATACAATGGTCTGTTAAGTATAGCCATAAAGAAAAGCGCCAATTTTTGATGAAGAGCACTTGGCAGTGTTTTGAATTGTTCCATAAATTTGGCAAGTCGTGCTGATAAGGGCTTTTTTTAAAAGATAATAAACAAATCTATCTCATAAACAATTTAGATTTACCTGAAAGAATTGTGCATTTCTGAGACGAGCTTGCTCTGGATCATCGTTGTCATCATCACCACTCACTCGATGTCGAAGTGCATCAATAAATTGCGAACATGTGTCAAAAGTAGCTTGTTGCTTATCAATTAAGTCGAGTATTTGTCCACCCATTTTGTAAACATGCATACTATACACTGTATTCTTCACTGACCACCGGAGGATGTATTTGAGCACTGGTTCGTGTGTCGCTCGATATATTATAGGATTAATTTTAGCTCTATCGGAAATTAATTTAAGAATATCTTGGAGAGGATCCAGCTTACTAAAGTAATCGGTATGAACGAAGGAATCGTATGAACCACAAATACGAATGAGATGACCAATATGATATGTTAGTTCTGCCCACGGATAGAATTCAGATTTAGTAAGTAGTTTTGCAGCATACCCTGGTGTATCCATTGTGTACATTTCGAGCATAGCAAGAATCAGGTCGAAAAAGAGTGATGAAAGTTTTTTGTTGACCTTCACGCTTAACAATGCATAGGTATTATGATACAAAATGTTTGAGCACAATTGATCTCGACGCTCGGTAGTATTCGCAAGGAACGAACATAGTCGAATCATCATTTGAATTAGAGGTGCAAGATCAATGGAGGCAATATGCTTTATTATAGGCTTGTAAGTAAAACGAGAAGCATCATCAAATCTGTCCATTAAGATCAAGCGTTCAACAGTTTCGAGCACTTTTGTATAGTTTGACTTTAACAATTCAATATCATTTTCGAACGATGTAGCAAGGAGATGAACATTGTCGGATGTAGCATCATCTAAGAGCAAAGTGGACAAGTCCAGTTGAGCATCAGTTGATGTATCATTGTTGTCGTACAGTCTGGACAGAGAATACCGCAATGATGATACCATCGGTGGCCATGCGGAAGACTCACATGAATGTAGCATGGTATATCTATTGTATAAAATATAAATAGTCGATTTAAGTATTGATCGAGATTCTATTGTTTATCATTTTCATCAAAATAAATGATCAGTAAAACAAATAAAAGTCACTATAGCTCAGGTATATATTCTAATATAAGATTAATTTACGCTAATCAATTATCGATTAAATTCATATTTACAGTTTTGAATAGATCGATTGCAAATGAAAAACTTTAACTTTAATATACCTCATTAAATTGTGTTCGATAATAGCGTCATATTTTTCCCTATTAGTGAAAGCTTCTAATAGATGTCTATCTTTGTGAAAAATGATTCAAAATCAGCGTTGAAATATATATCGATAGAATAGGTCTCTCCACTCCTCCATAATTCTAATTTTGAAAAGGCAGAACTATATGATAGATATTTATTTCAATGACTATAATAGTAAAGAAAACTAATGAAAAAATGAAATTACTAGCTATAATCAAAAATAGGACGTCCATAAAAAGAGATCGCTTCTTGACAATCCATCATCGCAGACAACGAAGTGTCCTCTTTCTTGAGATTATACATGACGTATTTTTACGCTCACTGCAATATGCTGGGATAAGCAACCTTGCCAAGAGCTTCAAAATGTTCTTGTACTGAGATACAAAAGCAATTTAGCAGAATAAATACAGTTAACCATCGATTTCGAGCAGTTTGAACCAAATGAATCCGTTTGATCAAAACTATTGTCACTTCTTTTGAAATCTCGATCATCTATTTTCAAGTGATGTATTCATTTGCACCTATCGAAACTTAAAATCTATTCTCTATTAATCTCTTGAAACATCCGCAAGTGATGTTTGTGTCAATCGTTGTATAACTGGTTCCTAAGTTTTTTTAGATTTTTCTTAGTGTCGATGTATGGCTAGGGTCAGAGATTGAACGAGTAAATAAGGCATTTTCGTTGGAATATTCACACGCTACGAATAACGGGAAAACAACGTGTCATATTAAGTTGACATGTATTTAAAAAAAGGGGCGAAAAGAGGAGATATATATGAGAACATTCTTGTTGCATCACTATAGTTCTTGAAGCAAAACTAGTCAAAACTTTATTGCCCCGAAGTTCTTTGTAGTATTTCCAATCGGAGTGTGAAGCGTTCATCCACAGTATTTTTGAATCGACTATTCTAAGAAGTTTGCTCTTTGCGCTATTCAAGCATACTCAAGAGAACTGATAAGTCACTTTTTATTTTAATACTTTTCTATCTCGTATTTTTTTTCTTCTTTCAATCGAGCAAACATCATCCGCATCGCTCATAGGCTATACAAGTCATACCTGTACAAATCTTGATAGGCTATTCGCATGACCATCATAACTTCTTTCTTCTTCTGTAGACTTTTAAAAATACGTTCGATCAAATGACTATTTGATGGTATGGAGTACAAGGATGCACCGAGACAAAATTCTTGATAGATTGCCGCAAGGAAGTTCACATGCCAATCGTCGGTAATATGTGCAGCAAGAACGCTCGTGAATGCTTCGATAACATCATCAAGAATAACAGGTCATTTTTCATTGACAAGCTGTTTGATAACGTTTTGAATAAGTACCAATTTCATCTGACTTGGTGGCGGGTCACGGGGTTCAACGATCACATACTCAACAAGAGCATTTAGTACTGACTTTGCACCAACAGATGTTGTTGCTTTATTAATGTTGGTATATATTTCGGGCCATTGCTTTTCGAACACTTCGTTGTTATGTGTCAATTGTCGTATGAATTTATCCATCACACAAAAGTAGCAAGACAACTTTGTTTGTATGCGTTCCTATCGGCGTATTATACTTATTTAACCACCGTATACGACGTAGAAAAATGAAGAAAAAAGAAAATTATTTATTTTTGCCGCAAGACTGACAAAGGAAGAGAAGAAAATTGCGCACATCTCTGAACGACAAAATAGTGCTGACTATTTGTTTCACTGTTAGACAACAGAATATGAACTATTTTTCATAATATTTATTAGTATGAATAGTAGAGCCCGTTGGGCTCAATAATTTTTCAATTCGGACCCCGAAAAAGAAATACATGTGGTTTCATCATTTTTAAAGATATTGCACCGTTCGAACATGTATCTTGTAGAGAAATGATTCCTCTATCAGCTCATATATTTAGAAACATACAATAATTTTGGGTCTCCTAAATTTTCTGATTACAACCTTCGGGGTCCAAGTTTGGACCCGGTTGGACCCGGAAGTTTGTAATCAGAAAACTTTGGGCACCCAACATTATTGTATGTTTCTAAATATATGAGCTGATAGAGGAATCATTTCTCTGCAAGATACATGTTGGAACGGTGCAATATCTTTAAAAATGATGAAACCACATGTATTTCTTTTTCGGGGTCCGAATTGAAAAATTATTGGACCCAACGGGCTCTAATGAATAGAGATCACTCAATTACTGCTCACTGTGCTCGTTGGTTGTTATTCACATGTGTATTAAGCTCATCAATTACTCTACTTAGACCAGGTCCATCGGGATAGACCATTAACATCAATTTAATAATAATGATTAATGTTTTCGTTAACCATTAGTATTAAGTGTTAATGTTTCCTACTAAAAAATTAATTCATTAAAATTAATAAATTCAATTTTTAGCAGAACACTGCCGATATTGATGGCACGCTTCGATGATTCTCCTTCCTCTTCCTTCTGTTCTCTTTCCTGTATATACGTGTGTTATGCATGAAGTTGTTACACTCTGGATATTTGAAGAAGCGAATAAACATCATTGCCTAGAGTGGCGATAAGCTACTCCACCTCTATCCAGTTTGTCTTAATAGATCAACCAGCAAGAGTCCGATATCAATCGTTACATGGCGACTCTGGCAGACCTCGGTAATTACATTTGTACCCTGGCTGTCGAATCCTGGCAAATACTCAACAGAATTGATTTGTGTCAAAATCAACAATAACCAAGGGGGGGGGGGGGGGGGAAGGGGGTAGCGNGGGGTGGGGGGGGGAAGCTGATTCCGTGATTCCGTGATTCTACTGATTCTATGTGATTCTGTTGATTCCATTGATTCCATGTGATTCCATCGGCTCTGGAATCACTATGAATATCACCGTATTTCTCGACTATAATGTCGTAACATCAATAGGAACATTATAGAATCATTACATAGATGAATTCAGAAGACTGCCGATCATTCCATTCAATAGAGAAATGAGTTCACTCATGATCGCAAGAATCATTGAATCGAGCACAAGAGACATAATCTGTATATTGCTGAATCTCAGCAAAAAGCGTATCAGTTCTCATTTCACAACAATAAAATAACATATTGGGACGATATCTGACCGACCAATAGATCGGTGCGGTTTTTTTCATTGTTTTACCATGACCACTCAAAGGATTACAGATCGCAAATGAATTTTCTCGCTCGATAATGATGTCAAAATGTTAGATTTAGTTGGAATCAACATTTAATCATGAAAGAAATTGGATTACTGTTGTTTCTCGCGTTTTCCTTATTTTCTATCATGATTACCACTGTTGCTTTGATTTCGAAGTCGGAGCTCATAGTTAATATATACAGTTTGTAAAAGTTCAATGGTATGGAGAGAGGAGTCCTCAAACGTCAAGAAGTGAAGGATCGTGAAGAGAGTAAACTCCAAAAGTATAAAGCAGCCTGAGCGCTGAAGTAGATGACTTAATTTTTCATTTTGCTTTCTGTATGCTAGCACCAATCTTTCCCAAAAAGTTGAGAACCACACGATATTCTATAGACTCCTTTCGAACATCATGGTTTGTGACTCTCAAGACCGAGAAAGTACTGCGATGGAACAACAGCATTACGAAGAATATACGAAAAATACTTTGTGGGACTGAAATTGTGTATTTTCGACCATTCGCGTTGACGTCGTTATTAGTTAGGCTAAAAACTGCATATATTTATTGTTGTATGTATGGAGTGAACGTTCTGTGTGAAGTATGCTGTCTCTCATACTAAGATCATCGCGCACGAGGTTATACAGCTTGTTCACGCTGAACACCGAACTACGAAGACATAAATATACAAGGATGGCTTTGTATTACCTATCGGCTGGTGCATCATTCTAAGAACCCGATCATAAATGACTTACGAGCACGACTAAATAAAATATAGAGATTGATTGTCAATAGAACGCAACAAAAGATAGCTTAGCTAGTTAGATTAAAAAGGACATCCATTCCCCATTTTAATTATAAACGAGAGCCCTTCACCCCTACCGTAGGTCTTTGTAGAAAGAGAAGTTGTCGATTTTTCGTGGCCCGTTATTTCTTATTGCCTAGCTGTACTTTATCTGGCACTAATTGACTTCTTTAAGATGCTACTAAACTGTACGTTTTTATGAATCCAAAAGAATCCGATGGTATTGTAATTAATGAGTTTTGAAAATCGATACATAGGACCCTACTGACTCTGCGATTGCTAAATTAGAAAATTCACTACAGCATCGTGCTTTCAAGGAATCGCACAACATAGTCAAATTTTAACTGTAACCAGAATGTATCGATCTCTTTCATTTTGACTAATTTTTTATTCGAAATAAAGATGTTGAAAACAAAAATCTACGTAAAGTATGAAACAAGAGAGATCGCTTAGGTCGAAGACTTTCTCATTTCCTCATTATCAAAGACGATAGAAATTTGCAATTGTTAGAGTTTTGGTGCAAGTTCCATCGAAGAATATTGATAACTTAATAAGCTACAGAATATGAGTGGTCATTTAGTCTTATTGCACTAAGCATAGATAAATGAATCCTTTATCTTTAGGAAAATGCGACCAGTAAATAATTTATCTTTATCCTTTAGTGTAAAGGAAACTAAAGAAAAAGGGTCGCCCATATTTTAGAGCAGTTTCTAACGTGCCAACCAGACATATCGCTGCTTCCAGCAACCAGTCAAGTTTTCTAACTGTTCTGACTTAGACAATCAGATTTATTTGATTGACTTTGAAAAGCCAAAGAATCGTTTTATACTCAATCAGTTGAAAACTGCTTGGGAACCTGATTATCTATCAGAAAATCGTTCGATAATTTGATTGATATGGTAAAAGCTGTCGAAAAACTTATCGCTTTAGTCTCTTGATGGCTGAAAATATATAATTCAGAAGCTCTATTTACTGTATAGTTGAGATAAAATGTGAAAGGGCATCAAATAACTTAACAAATAAACCATCCAAAACGATTACAACTTTTTACAGTGGAAACGCGTGCTCGTATATTTAATCATGTCGAAAATGTATCCATGTATTATTATTATTCGAGCAATTTATTATGAAATATATTACATCGTCAATGCATCAATTCTTTTCTTCCAATGATAATATCCGACACGTTATATCAAGTGTAAATATCATCTTATTCTTTCAATCGTCTATTTGGCTACCATATTAACTTTCTATATACATTGATTAGATTATTTAGGTAGAGTCTGATACCCTATTATTTGTTTTGACAAATTATGGGATGTAAGTTGAGTTTTTCCTAAACTTGGAATTGAACTATTTCATAATTTTACATGGTGCTCATCCTATTCTTACTCTATTAAATGAATAATAGCTTTGATCTACTGAATGACATCTACAATAACACCATTTCGTTGTATTAAATACCCAAACTTGCCATATTTAGACTATACGTAGTTAGGATGTACAGCGTTTTAGAATAATATAACCATCGTATATGCCTACAGAGATCTGCCCAATAATCTTTGACTTTATTCTCCTCTTCTCACTCGCTATTGCTAGAACGAAGAGGACGTAGGCGAATACCTCGATTTAAACCGTCAAACGTGCATATTTTCGTCGAAATTATACAGGAATTTAATAAAAGCTGCTTCTTTGCTGTAAAATGGTAAAATAAATTCTACTGCTCGGTGAAAAACTGCCAAAAAGCTACTTAACTGCTTCTAACTAATGAAATGTATTCGATCAAGCATGATAAGAAGCAGATACATGCATTTCTTAGGTGTTTTTTCTTCATGTGATTCCGAGTGATTCCATTGATTCCGTGTGAGTCTGTGTCATTCCGATGATTCTATCACCATAGAATCAGCCTTTTCCCCCTTGGAAAAAAAACACGCTAATACGCTTTAACGAAGAAAAAATCCAAAAGAGGTGCACTTTTAACATTTTTTTTTCGTTAAATTTTTGATTGGTTGTCATTTGCCACAAATTGGAATCCCCAGATACATCTCTACATCATATTCACGCTTCTGGAGAATAAAACAAACATGACCTATCCAGGTGACCAAATAAGGTGTTTATTTAGAGATNCCATTTAATATTGTTAGACTGCAAACGTTTTTTCTATTATGAAATACATTACATCTTCAATGCATCAATTCTTTTCTTCCAATGATAATATGTGACACGTTATATCAAGTGTAAATATCATCTTATTCTTTCAATCGTCTATTTGACTACCATATTAACTTGCTATATACATTGAGAAGATCATTTAGGAAGAGTCTGGCACACTATTACTTGTTTCGGCAAATTATGAGATGTAAGTTGAGTTTTTTCTAAACTTGGAATTCAACTATTTCATAATTTTACATGGTGCTCATCCTATTCTTACTCTATTAAATGAATAATAGCTTCGATCTACTGAATGACATCTACAATAACACCATCTCGTTGCGTTAAATACCAAAACTTTCCATATTTAGACTACGTAGTTTAGGGTGTACAGAGTTTTAGAATAATATAACCATCGTTATTGCTTACGCGCCTTTTCTCTATGCTACATAAATCTACCCAATAATTTTTGGCTTTGTTCTCCCTTTCTCACTCGTCATTGCTAGAACGAAGAGGAAGTAGGGGAAAACCTCGATTTAAACCGTCAAACGTGTATATTTTCGTCGAAATTATACAGGAGTTTAATGAAATCTGCCTCTGTGCTGTAAAACAGTAAAATGAATTCTACTGTCCGATGAAAAACTGCCAAAAATTACTTAACTGCTTCTAACTAATGAAATGTATTCGATCAAGCATGATAAGAAACAGATACATGCATTTCTTCGGTGTTTTTTTCTTCGTGTGATTTCGAGTGATTCCGAATGATTCTGTGTGATTTCGATGATTCTATCGCCATAGAATCAGCTTTTTCCTCCTTGACAGGGATCCATTCTACATAAAAAGAAAAAAAACGTGTTATTGGTAACTGTCATAAACTCTGGTCACAGACTCTGCAAAACGATAAATCACAATATTCTGGTTATTTTTATTCAATCATCTATCTATTTGTCTTGGATCAGCAGCTAAATTCGTTTAACTAATTATAAATCGACAATAATCCATGTTACAGTTAGATATTTTTAGCTTTAATAAAAAAAACGATGTAAAAACGATACTAGCGATGACATTCCTTTGTTTAAACATGAATACAAACATTCAGCTTTATTCATTTTCACGACATTGATCATCTGTAAGCAAAGGGACTCTAATTATGAGTCAAATACAGGACTATGATGAATGAGTCATTGTAAATAAATTTTAGAAAAGAACCAGTTAGTAAGATTTAACACTTAATAGTGTATAAAAACTTGTAAATTTTTAATTATATCTTATCAAATAGCTTGCTGATAGTATAATGAATACTTAATCAATTATAAATCGCTCGGTGAATAGAGATGTATATGTAATCATATAAACATAATTATTTCATTTTCTAACGCAACATACAACGATACAAACACCAATGATACTATGCTGTAAAAAGTAAGAGCGTTACTGCTATTCTTGATTATGATACTTATTGAGTTACCTCATATATCCAGAATATATGTTTATCTCATCGTTATAATCCAAGTTTGTATATAGAGACGGTAGATGAAGATAGGAAAGAACAGTAAAGCGAGAACAAGTTTACAAATAAATGCTTCCGTTTCAATGTGTTTGATCATAGAACTTGAACACACTATCTACTAAATCATTATCGTTTTGCTTTTTTATCAAAGCGATAAATAGTATTCTTTTTCTTTATCGACAAATGAACTTTCTCAGTACGCTGAACAAAAAAAAAGCACTCTTTCTATCTTATCTAGATATGATCAAATTTCCCTATAGTATGTTTTCTCCGGCTAGATATCATGCTCTTTCACATGCGACATCTCTCTAAAAATTTCCATTGGTTTTCAGTATTCATGTAAGTTCGCTGTTGTAAATAAATAAAGAAAGAAAAACAGTATATACATATATATATATATATATATATCGATCAATCCATATGATTTCCAATAAATTTCTTTTTTAATATTAGTTAAATAAAACTCGCGTGTTTATGCATGGCCACAGTATCTTCAATATTAAATGATTCTTCAACATCATCATCGACAATTAATACGCCTACAACGAAATCTTCTCAACATTTAAGTCGAAGTCTCGAACGTGCTCTCGATGAAGCTGCTTATACATGTGAGCTTGTTTTGAATGGTCGTAAACTCCGTGAGTTTCCAAATTATACCTACAAAACTACCAAATGTGATCTATCAGATACAATTACAGCTGGTTTGTTGTTTTTATTTTAATAAGAACAAAAGAAAAGATTTTTTTTGAAAAATCATATTTCTAGATCTTTCTCGTAATCGTTTTACTGAATTTCCACGTGTATTATGTTCATTTTTCTCTCTCGAATATCTTAATCTATATGATAATATTATTAAATCCATACCTGAACAAATTATTCAAATACGTTTGCTCAAAGTTCTTGATTTAAGGTAGGCGACATTTTTCAAAATGATCTTATTCATCAAACAACGTTTTAATATTCTAGTCGAAATCAACTCGCTTATATTCCACCAACATTATGTAAATTATCCAATTTAGAAGTTTTAATTATTAATAATAATAAACTTGTTTCATTGCCTGAAGAGATCGGTCAATTAGAAAAATTAATCGAATTAGTAAGATTTATTTTCTTCAAACGAAATGACTGTTTTTGTTAAGTTCGGACCATTCGATCCATTCCTTCGTTAATGCATTTTTGAATGATTACGTAAAATAATGGCAATCTGATTACTAACAGCAGTTCAAGCTTGAAGCTATTACGCTAATAGCTTTTGTTGATTTTTCAACCGCTAGATATGAAGTTTCGGATGAGAATTGGCAATAGTCAAATAGAATCAACAGTACATGCTTCCTCTGATTCAGTTTACATAGGCTTAACATTCTTGTCTTTGCCGGCAGAAAAAAATTTAACATGACAGTAGAACTTATCGTATTTATTGTTCCGGAAATTTCTTCTGAAAAACTAATGTATCGATGAAATTGAAAGATATTTTTTATTTTTTGAATAGGATGTTAGTTCGAATGATTTAACACAATTGCCATATCAACTAGGCACACTAATATTTTTACGTACATTGCAAATTCGTCGAAATATGATTATTGAATTACCAACAGGTAAATAGCAAAAAAATTCCTTCTTCTTTTTTAAATAAAGCAAAACATTTTAATCAAATTCGTATTTTATTCAGTTATATTATATCTGTGTAAAGAAAGGTATTGCTTATGATCCTCAATGCTTTCTTTTTTTTATGCATAAGAACTAAACGAGAACTTTTCCTTTTGCACGTTTTGATTTTTAAGGTTTTATTTTTGCTGAAAGACTTTTTTCTTCAACTCATCCATTCATCGATGTTTGCTTTCATTTAGAATTGTGTAATTTGAAATTGATTCATTTCGATTGTTCGTTTAATCGAATAACTCGTTTACCATTGAATTTACGAGAAATGGCCAGTTTAATTGAATTAAATGTCGAAAACAATCCATTAGAAAGTCCACCAGCATCGGTAATAAAAACAAAAAAGAAAATACTTTAATATTCCATGAGATCTATTTTTCGTTTTTTTTTATAGGTCTGTACGCTTGGTTTACTTCATATAATGCGTTTTCTTCTCGTCGAAGCAATGAAAGAAGAAAAACGTCGCGGATTATTAACTGAACATGAAATTAATTCGAAATATCGAAATTCATTTTCATATCAAGGATCCAGGTAATTATAGAGTTTAGATGTGAATAGAAGAATTATGTTGTTTCATTTGAGAAAAACGAGAACACAACAAAATGAATGCCTCTAGGGAAGATAATTGTACATTAGTTTCATAATGACGATGAGGTTAAAATAATATGACTTTTGTCAATAACGAATACAAAGAAGAGACATGCGATTACTCGAGGCCATTTTCAAAGGATGTAATTGTATAAATAGGACTATAGAAGGAAATGAACAGAATCAAATTAGTTCTTATAAGTAATTTTATTTGTAGTGAATGTGTATTCAAACACAGTTAGATTGAATTGAGATGTTAGTTTTTATAGCTAAGACGATCTACTTGATGGAGAATTTTTGTGCAATGTGACAAACGCGGTGATCCGTGATGAAACAAAACCTAAATTAACTGAACGATTCATATGCATCAGTTTCTCGAATAAAACCTTGGAAACCAATTAGAGAATGTTTCCAGATGTCGGTTCACGTTTCCGTTGAAATTTTATATAGCCTGTTATGTACTATTATTAACAAATAAAGAATCGTTCATGCCAATAGTCGATTGCGAGTGAAATGGAATATTTTTTTCAGAGCTTCATATCTAGAACGATTAAGATCGAACATCTGAGTAAATGACTTATTCTAAAATTAATATTGACTTCAATACAAGAAAAAGCACTTCTCACTGGAGATTTTGTATATATTTATCATAATCTAATTTTGATCATTGAGATAAATGAGATTTATTTGCATCCTTCTTTTTTTTACGAGATTGAATAATCACACTTGAACACTATTTTGTTTTTCATCACTTGAAAGATATTCTACGGAAAATTTCTTAAGCTCGAATACAGAGCCAAATAATCTTTGGACTCTTTTACTATCATATGATTCTAATCATAATCTACAATATGAAATTAAACTACATTTATTATTTGACAGTTCTCATGCGGCAATAAATCTAGACGAATTTAGGTATAGAATAGAGGCTAACACAGAAATTCTTTTTTCTTCTTCTTCTAAGATTAAAATTAATAGAAAATTGATTTACATATTAATATATGTTACTATTTTTCTTTTTCATAGGAAATACCGAACAGTCTTCTAAATAAATTCTAATGCTCATTATTGATGTTCTAACCGCTTTCATTTCATTTTTTTTACTAAAGCTTTAATTCAATTTTTGATTTAAAAACCCTAAATATTTGCTCTAAATAAGATAATTCAATGCCAGAATATACAAAGAAAAAACATCACCTTCATCATCACAATAATTAAATTCTTTTTTTCAGACATTTACAATGTGGTGCGCAAATGAAGAAAACCGTTGTACCATCCGATTCAGGTTATCTAACAACGGAAAGCAGTGAAAAAACAGTTGGTGATGTAAATAAACGAAAGCTTGTCTGTTTTTTTTCTGTGCTTATTTTGTCTTTATTGTTCTTACAGGATGATTCTGTGTTAAGCATGCCAAATGATAATTCGCTTCGTAGTGAACCCACTCTTATGCTTACCCTTACGGATGAATTTTCTAAAGTATTCATACGAGTAAATTGCAACCTTTTAGTACGACCAACATCCTTTCGGAGCAGGACACTCGAGTATTTTCATATATTGAATTCGTTTGATTGTAGCAAGTTACCCTACTATTTCCCAGAGAATATAAATGTTTCGTACTAAAGAGTTGCTATTTGCTGAGATAATTATTGATTGAATTTAATCTAATCCTTTCTCGATTATTAATAGGAATTAGCGAGACAAAAAGCTGATTATGACAAGAAGAAGTGTCAAGCGTATCAATTAAAATTGCATTTACTACAACAATTAGGTGAAACCGAGACTCAGGTAAGAAGTTTCATTTTGCATCGAAAAAAAACTGAAATAATATTTGAAATTGAATAGAGAGCAAAAACGAGAGAAGTGGCACGAAAAACACACGATGAAAAATTAGCTAAAATGGAAAAACAACGAGAAGATGCTCGACGAAAAATGGAGAACAGGTATTTAGAATTTATAAGCAAAAACTTTTATCCAAAGAGAAATTTAGTTATTTCAATCAGAAGGATAAAACTCGTATTCTAAACTAGGAGGACTAGTATTTGAAGATTTCACTTCTCTTTTACATCCTTCATTCCATATCAAAATAAAATGCGGTATCGATCAACCAGTTTCTTCATCTATTATAGTCAAAACATGAACGTATTCATTCCTGAATGACAATATAAACTCACTTAGATGTTTTTTTTTATTATTATACGTATATCATGCATGCTTAATCCACACTATTTGTGTGATAAAAACAAATAATTATGCTGAATTTCATTTTTGTAGTCGTCGATGCTATTCACAATTGAATTATGGTAGAATTGAGGCTTTAGCAAATAATCGCTCTGCTCCTCCTACTTTGCTCTTTGATCTATTTATTTTTTACTTCATTAAATAGTTGCTTTTGTTGCAGTAGAAATATTCAGTTATTTAATTTTTCTTCTAAACAACGTTCATGGCCTTCGTCAACATTAAATCGACAAGTGTCAAATGTTGAATCATCCATATCCGGTACAATAATAAATGATAATAGTGAAAATTATAAATCCTATCAACGTTCATTATCAGTAGATGATTCAACAGTAGATGATTTACTGCTAAGAAAAAATCGTGCAGTTAGTGTTGAACCAACTTTAAATCGTGGTAATAATGATATTAAAATTAAAAATGGACATAATCATCATTATCTTCATCATCAACGATCGTCGCCGAATGGATCAATACATTCAAATGATAATACAGTAAAAATGAACAGACAATTTACAAGTTCAGACACTATAGATGAATCAATGTAAGCAAAAAGTAGATGGAAATAATTAAAAAATTTCATTCTTATTTTTAAGAACGATTTCGGAAAGCATTATTATGAATCAGATACCAAATTATGATAGAAAAGTAAGAATAGACAGATAACTAATTCGAAGATTATATAGATTTTCTCTTTAGGACGATTTACCCTACAATCATTTTGAAGAAAGTCGATTAGCTAAATTAAGATATTTTGATAATGGTGAAATCAGTGTAAGCATTCATTACGAAATATTTACTCGTATTGCTATCTATTATTTTAGTCTAACCGAACTATACTCAGCTTTAATTCACAATCGAAAGGTATTTCAATGGACGAAAAAGAATTAAAATCTATACCGAGTCTTTCTTATAGGGTCGTCTTTCAAAAATGGTCAAAATGCACAATTATCCTCGGACGATCCTGCTTTTGCAATGCGTCGTCATTTACTTCATACAAATGAAGATCATCTACAAATAGAACAATTAAAAAAGGTTAAAAGAAACAATATAGAAATCTAACTTGAATAACCCTAGTCAGTGGCGTCACTCTCTCTCCTATTGACATTCCCCAACGCTAATTGTATTTGATTGCGAATCACTTGTGTTTAACTCAAAATTCGATTTTTATTTTGCAGACAATTGAAGAACGTTTAAAGGTGACATTACCCGATGATATAGGCTATGCCTTAAACGATGGTGTTGTTCTGTGCCACTTTATCAATCAAATTCGAGCACGTTCAGTTCAAAGTATTCATGTACCGTCACAAGCAGTAGTAAGAATATTAATATAAAAAGCAAACTGACAATAAACCAAGCAAACGTTTTCTTTTTGTTTTCTAGCCAAAACTTTCCTCAGCTAAATGTCGACGAAATGTTGAGAATTTTATTGACGCTAGTCGACGCATTGGCGTGCCAGAGGTAGGTTGCTAACTCCCTCGACATGAGATACTAAACAAAGTAGCATGTGCTTGATAGAATAACTTTGCATGAAAAATAATAAATAAAAAATAACATTCTAGCATGTGTTTGCGTGTGTTTTTATAGTCTTGCCTTGTTAAACTAACTGATATCATCTTACCGAATGATCGATTAAATTCTAAACAAATACAACAGCTTGGCTTACATCGCTTATTTTTAACAATAAATTATCTTAAATTAATTGAATTGAATAAACAAGAGCAATGTGAAAATAAGTTCTATTCGACGATTGATAAAACAATAGCTAACCTTCTTATCGTCTTTCTTGGCTTAAGTATTTTTTTATTCACTTATTATCACTAGTATTTATAATAATAATTAGCACGTTTTCTTCTCTCTCGCTGTGTGTGTGTAGTGTAGTGTTGTTCATTGTCTTGTTTGTTGTTGTCTTTTGATTTTTTTTCTATAGGTCGACCTGTGCACTGCTGACGATATTATTGAAGAAAAACATACGGTGCGTTTGGCCCGTCACATACGCTTATTAGTCTCACCGGAATTATGTGAGCAAACGAATGTTTAGATAGATTATTAGATTCAATTCTCTTTTTTTCTGTTGACATCCAATGTCTATCTTTTTTTATCTATTTGTTTTTTTTTCTTGTTATAAAGCAATATTCAGTTTGTCTGTGTGGAATTCTTAATTATGTATAATGAATAATAAAACAATAAGAGAACAAAGAAATTTGAAAAAAAAACGCGTTGCTATTGGTATTCTTTTTGGATTTTTGTAGACGATAATGAGTTTTACACACGATCTTAAATTACCGACTTACGAAGAATTGGAATGTCCAGTTGTAAATGTATCATCACCGGCACTTCGCGCAGGAAGTTTTCATTTGGCGAAATATTGCGATTTACAATTTAAAGTCTGTTCTCTTGAGTTGTTTTTCTGTTTATAGAAAATGTTTATTCTATTTTAGGAATTTATGTTATGTCGACAGGTTTGTATTTGGTTATAGTGTGGATTTTGTTAATATAGGTTCGTAACTTGTTTGGCAAATAGAAGTTATTTTCTCTCGTTGAAAAGATATTCATTTTAACTTGCTTTAGTTCGCAATGACCTAAAGTAACTTGAATATCTTATCGGTCTATGCATATTATAGCCTATAAAGCCTGAAAGAATAGTTTCTAGACTGAAACCAAAACAAAATCCTATCTGCATATTCCTGACTGTGTTAGAATGAGGTTCCGAAAGATAGACAATCATTTTGGATACCAAAATTTTTTTATATTTGCAGTTTTTATGACTGATAACAGAATTGACTAGTCTGTCACGTATTGTACTGAATTATTTTCTGACGATTTCGAGATCGTTTTGATCCCCTTAAAAATAATTTGACCACTCATTTTTAGAAAAAACCGGATGACTCTAACACGCTATTTAATGACATTGCATGTCTTACGATAAGGCGATAATACTTATTATAATGTGTGCCAGAGCGAATAGAAGAAATGGAAATGTGACAGACTCGAGTATTCTTAGTTTTCTCATTCAGTATGGATCATTTCCGATAAAAATGATTGTCACGCAGCGTAAATAGACTTAAGTGTCTCGTATAGAATTAACCATTTATTCGAGCAGTCTACTGTCATAATTCAGCTGTAGAAAAATTAAGCGTAACGGAAAACAAAATATACAATGTCTCAAATCATTTCTATTTTCTCCTCTTCAGGAAGAGCAAGACCCAAGAAAATGTATAAAAGAAGGCAAAGAAGTTTCATTATGTTCAATTGATTTTTTTCGTAAAGTACGTGATACTTGTAATGATACATTTACCACATTTTGGACATGTCTTGATAATGCTCGCGATGGTGAAATGTCATTTAATTCGTATGTTTATCATGATTTATCTTTTTTTTTCAAAATTCTATACAATGACTATTTCTCTTGATTTAGTTGTAAACAAGAGCAGAGAGCCTTCTCACAATGTGCCAAAGATAAAATAAATATAGAACGGCCTGAACCAGGCTATTTTTCAATGGTGCGCATGCATGATACTAAACGACCTATACCATCGGATCCATTTCGTATTGGTTCATTGGAGCGTCATCCACCAAAATTAGAAGTACCAAATCCACCATCAATAGCTCAAGCTGATGAATATCCAGAAGCAAGAACTGGAATGAAATTTGGACATCGAAAACCGTGGATGTTCGAAGGAAAATTATGGGACTAAAACTCGGAAGAAAGAAAAATAGAGTTTTCACAACAGTTAGCGTGTAGTTTCAAATGACTATTTAAAGTTTTTCTTTTTGTCCTTTTGTTCCTGTCCGATTCTTATATTTTCTAGTTATGATGTTCTCTTATCAATATAGGAGAAAATCTTCCATAGCAAATTCAAATCTATTCTAGATGTCGAAATTAAGACAAACTGTTCTATCTAAACGAAATCTAACTAAAAATGAAGATGATAAATCGAAAGCAACACTTATGATTGAGAAGGATAAAACTGATGATAAATTACAAGTAAAAAAAGGCAAAAAACGAACTGCTTCAACTTCACCAGCTAAGGTGAGAATGAATTTTCTCATTGAATCAAAAGGCAAATCTGGAGGGAAATCTTAATTTAGAAAGTAAAAAAAACTGGATCAATTGAACAAGTTGATGATGACACAGAAAATATTGAAGAATCGAAAAATGAAAGCAAACAAACAGGCCCAATGACATTAAAAACATCAGATCGTTTATCATGTAAAGGTGAAAAAGCAAATCTAAAACTTGTATCATGGAATGTAAATGGAATTCGTGCATGGATAACGAATAAAGGTTTAAAATATATTGAACAAGAACAACCAGATATTATTTGTTTTCAAGTAGAATTTATTATTAATTTTGAAGGCTTTTGATTTTGATTATTATTTCAGGAATTAAAATGTGATAAAGAAAAAATTCCAAAAGAAGCAACACCTACCGGATACAAAGCTTTCTGGCTTTCCGGTGATCAAGGTAACAATAATACCAATAAAATCATACGTTGAACTATCGTTTCTTTTTATTAGCCGGTTATTCTGGCGTTGGTCTATTAACGAAAATTGATCCGGTCGATGTTAAATATGGCATTGGTGTTGCTGAACATGATAATGAAGGACGCGTGATAACAGCTGAATATGATAAATTCTATCTTGTTGTATCATATATACCGAATAGTGGTCGTAAACTTGTACGTTTAACATATCGACAAAAATTCAATCAAGCCTTTCATGCGTACTTAAAAGAACTTGATGGTAAAAAACCAGTAATATGGTCTGTTTGAAATTACGACTTTTTTTGAAATGAAAGAAAAAACAGCAATGATTTATTTTCAGGTGTGGAGATTTAAATGTTTCGCATCTCGAGATTGATTTGGCCAATCCGAAAACGAATACGAAAACTGCTGGTTTTACAAAAGAAGAACGAAATGATTTTTCAAAAATTCTTACTGATGGATTTATTGATTCATGTAAATACTCTTCGAGTGAAAACGAAAATTATTCACAAAAATATTTTTATTTTTATTTTTAGTTCGACATCTATATCCCGATAAACGTGATGCATATACCTATTGGGCTTATTTTCGCAATGCTCGTCAACGTAATATCGGTTGGCGATTAGATTATTTTATATTATCATCGGCTCTACAAGAATATCTATGCGATTTTATTATTCAAAATCAAGTCTACGGGTCAGATCATTGTCCAATAGTTTTATTATTGGCTGTTTAATTGAATTCTATTGTAATAATCATGATAGTCAGATAGGGAAAAAATCAGAATTTCTTTTATTTTTTGTCAATAAAGAAAAAATAAATCAGAACTATGCTACTCTTTTTATAGATTGTAGTATACTAGCAATATGAATAACTATCTTAGACATATATATGATTATGATAATGTCAATCAAATAAAGAACAAAACAATGCATCGGATGTTCAGCTTGCACGCTAGATTAACATATTAACAAGAATCATTATGAAGAGCAGGAATAGAAGAAAATAGAAAAACCTGAAGGTATTGTTATAAATATAGATTGGGTTATTCAATTATCGGAAAGCACGAACAGTCGTCATGACAGTGAGTGCATGGCTGCTGCCGTTGAGCTATTTTCCCCATTTTTTTCTTCTTCTTTCTCCTTCGCATAGTATTAAAAAGCGGAATTGATTGAAACAAGAATTTATTCACACTTAAAAAATCGGATAGTGCAAATACAGTAGATGAGAAATGATAAAACATAGAAACTCTTATATTAAATGTGATTATCACTTGTTCGCGTCTTTTCTGCCTTTCCTTTTTTTTCTTCTTCTATTTCAATTAATAATTGTAAATGTGTACATTGCTGGTTAGCTTCTATTGCTCTCCATTTTCCTCTTTCTTCGTTTGTGTTTCTCTTAGTTCGATCGGCATCATTCGCATTGGACTTTGCAAGTACCATCGTTCACATTAAAAGAACACCAAAGAATGGTTATGCTCAGCAAGGGAAAAGAGGAGATTTCCATTATTAAACAGATCATTATTTATTTTTCCGTTGTATTTATTCTCGATAAAGGAAAGACAAAAATCTCTTTTTTGCTTAATCTCTGTCTATTTAAGGTTTGATTGTGTGTTTTATGTCTATATATGTGTTTACTTCTAATAGCAGTTCTTCTGTACGAATTTTTTAATGTTAAGGTAAGATTAGCTATTAAAATAAAATAGATCCTGTTTTCTTATCAAAGTTAAAATAACTTAACTATTATTCTATTTTTACCCGTTGGGAAATCTAAACGGTCAATCATTTAGAGTATTCTTGTTATTACATTTATGTTTTTTTAATAGTGTTATCGTAAGAGACAAAGGCGTATGTGTTAGCAAAAATACTTAGTATTCACCGTTTGTCGCAGTTTTTGCTTTACCGATCGGGACGTGCTTTCTAATCTGAAGTTTAGGGATATAAAAAATACACGAAGAAAAGAAAATTTTCTTTATTTTTCTTTTCTGTAATATAATGACAAATGCCATTTGAAATAGAAGAAGAGGAGGAAAAAAGAGAAAGCGAGAAAAAAGTGTTAAGTGATTGGAAAACGCTCATCGTTGAATTAAAACGCTTCTCCTATGAATAATATTTGCATCCGTGCACAATTATCGAGTAGAATGTTGACGTCAGTAGATAATCGGCACCTTTTTTTGTGTTGTTAATCAGATTATATGTCTCCGTTTTTTTTTCTCTATCTATCAAAGAAGAGAACCGAGATATAACGCTTGTCTTCCTGTATTTTCGTTTCTTCTTGTCATTATTAGATCGATATAGTAGAGTGTCGCAAAGGTAGATAGTCAAATAATCAGGTAACCATACGTTTCCGGTAGAGTTTAGTTTCTCTCTTTTCATTTTGAAATATTCTCTATAGACGAAGAATGAAGATTAACATATTTGCATTAATCCTAAAATAGAAAAGTCTTATTATTATTATTATTATTATTGTTATTTTTTTTTCTTTGTTTTTGACTCCTCGAAAAGTCAGCATCCATTTAGCGATTTTGTTTAATATGTTAATTATGATCTATTTTACCCGTAGAGAAAAACACACTTATGGTCATATCTATAAAATGGTTACATATTGATCTCCTTTTATTATCAAAATATTGTCATGATTTCTGTTTTTTTTCTTTTTGCTTCCATCTGCATTTGCGTTTATTTGAACAAGAACCAAATAATCAATCATAACATAAAAGCAGATAGAAAGAGAAAAATGCATGTGCACTGAGGCAAGTGGTAATGTGTGTTGAGTATGTTGTAGAATAGTGATGCTAATCACATTAAACCGAAGGCAGAACGATGAGTAAATGTCTTAAGAGAGAGAGTTAAACCTATACGAGAACTAGATGGCAAGTATGTTTATGTAAATTGTTCAGAGTGTCAATGTTAGACGATTGATGCATTAAACAACAGCCAATGTCGGAAGAAGCATCAACTTCATCCATCATTCGTATTCATTTACTTCAGTTGAAAAAAAAGAAAAACAGAGGAGGAGGAGATCTTTATCTATTCTACTAATTTCCGTTTCTATGTATCTATGTCATTCGCTTCTTTTCTTCTTTTTGTTTTAAGAAACATAAATCTTTTCCCGAAGAGTCATATTAAATATTTAACTTTGCTCGTACATTATGAATAATCTGTTTGTTATTTCTAGCATTTCATTCTGCAACGCACATGATTTCAACCGTTGTTGATGGGCTGTACGGGCTCTAAGCATGAATTATCAGCAGCTGATTTGGCATTTTTGAAAAATCATACGTCGTATTCCGAAAAAAAAATCAAAAATTGGTACAAAGGTTTTATGGTAGGCAATTCACCTTTCTCTTTGTGCTTTTAAATCCTATTTATTCTAGACCGATTGCCCTAACGGGGAATTAACGCGTGAGTCATTTATCCAAATCTATAAACAATTCTTTCCTAAAGGACGTGCCGAAAATTTTTGTGAGCATGTCTTTCGTGCATTTGACTCTGGTAACTAAGAAAAACAAAAGTGAAATCTAGTCAAATTAACTAATTCTTTGTGTTGTTTTGTCGAATTTAGATAATAGTGGAAAAATTGATTTTAAAGAATTTCTACAAGCGATTAATATAACATCTCAAGGAACGCCTAACAAAAAATTAGAAATGGCTTTTCGCATGTATGATTGTAATGGTGACGGGTCAATTGATCAAGCTGAAATGCGACGAATTATAACTGTAAATTAAATATCTACTTAGAAATTATTGACATGCTTTCATTGTTCGTTTTTCTTAGGCTATTTACGAATTAATTCCTGAGGAAACCGATCAAGGAGAACGACAAATAGAAGCTGATGAACGTGCACTGAATATTTTTCGCATAATGGATAAAAATTCCGATGGTATATTAAGTCGAGATGAATTTATTGATGGTTGTTTACACGATGAGCAACTCTATCAATTGCTAACTCAATCGAATCGTTTTGGTGACACTCGTGAATCACAATCATCACTTGACGATTAATTCTTTGTCTCTCTATGTACTTTGTTTGGTTTTTTTCGCTGTCTGTATTTAATATTTCTTTTGAAAACATTATATTAAAAAACAAGAACTAGTTCATTTTAGTTATAGTTAGAAAGCAACAACAAATCTTTTTTTCATTATCGATTTCAATCGTGTATTGGAAAAGAAAATATTGAAAATGAAAAATTGGTTTTGATTTTGGATGGTTTTCTTTTTCTATCGAATTAATTTCTTTTTTTTGAAGGCATTAACCACAATCAACGACAAACGTCATCATAATGAATCTAAATATCTAGAAGTCTTCGCGTGGGGGTACGCGACAGCTATTTTGATAACATCGAAAGCATTCACTAATGATTTAACGATCGATTTTTCGAATTTTGTTTGATTCTTAAAACATCGTTTCAATGAGTTTATTAGTCTTGCAGATTCGTATTCTGTTTTTGACATCAACCAAAACAAATGTCTCTCTGATAAATTATTATCAAATCAGAGAAAAGAAGCAATACTCTATAGATAATTCGAATGTCACATTTAATATATTATGATGTTGATAATAGTTTACAAATATTTCATATTAACATCAAATATTGAATAAATAATATGATTTGCACTTTACATATTTTTATTTAATATGTAAATTCATTGACTATCTATGATTCAAAGAAAGAAGAGATGCAAGTTGTTTCAATATGTTAGACGTTGACATGATTTTGTTTTCAATTTGTCTGTTTACAGCGTCCTCCTATCAGTATTAAGTCAAGCTGCAAAATCAAAATAATTGAAAATTATTCAATGGAATATATATTAAACAAATCTATTTGATACTCCACTGGGTTTGGTGAGTAAAAAAGCTTTCAATGTATTCCCCTGCGAGATTAAATGCGGGCCTCGCGACTTCTGTTCTGTGGTACGATTTTGTTTTACTGATGCTATGCAATAATGATCGTCTACAGTAAATGGCTTGTAACGTAAATGAATAGAATTTCGTAGTAGAGTGTATTAAGATGTATTTTATATACATTCTCACAAAATTAAAAATTATTTGATTGTAAATACTGTTTTAATTGAGATATTTTACAATTGACTTTGATCGGTATGTTTACTTTGAATACAACTTTTGCTAACGGTGGTATATGACAATCTGAGAACATAAATTCATTTTGTTGAAGGTATTGCTTGTAACAGAGCTCTGCGTGGAACGGGATGGGACGAAAATTATTAGGAGATTTTAAGTAGACAAGAAAGAATCGAAGTCTCTTTTGAGGTGATTCTATTGTATGCTTACTATCTTTACTGATTAGAATTATATTTATTGACGTAAGTGACCGCTTTCAAATTGTATTCTCATATTTTAAAACATTTTCGGTATATGTTGTTCAATTTACCAAAAATATTTTTAAAAAGCGAATACAAGCTTCTAAAAGTCATCTGAGACAACGATCTTAATTTTAATGAATAGAGATAGTATGCATATCATAGAATCCTATCGAAAGAGATTTTGATTCTTTCTTGTCTGCTTAAAATTTTCTAAAAATGTTCGCCCACGCGAAGCTCTCGCTTGTACTATAGCAATGCGTACAGTTGCTAAAATATTAATTATGCTGCACGTTCTAGTGTCGTTATTGTAATCATAACAGAGGATAGCAACTAGAAATGAATATGCATGAAAATAAAGTGAATCCCTTCAGAAGTATAAAATGTATGGCGAAACTTAAGCATGCCTTTTACTTTATAGAATGTGTCGTGCAACGTAGGCTATGACCAATCCCATTCAATCGAGATCGTCAATTAGAAACCCATTTGAGAAAGGTCGTTTTTTAGAATTTTTGTTTTTCTTGCTGACATAGATTCAATTTACTAAATAGCTCTGCCTATTTTCAATGATAGAATCGAAATCGATGCATCCAGAATTCCATTTGACAATAATGTTATCGGACAACTATTTTTTTTCTTCTTGTTGCCAATCTTCGTCTGTACTGGTTATGCAGGTTTTACAACTACCATATGCAACCTATACAGAAAAAATCAACAGTAAAGGCAGCAATATCAGACAATGCAGAAAAGAAAGGTTGTGAAAGTAAGAAAATAGCCATTCAAAAACAAAGCAAGTAAATCGTATTAGACAAAAAGAAAAGACAGCCAACGATAGAACATCAATACAATAATCCACAGCGTTGCAGTTTCACTTATTTCATTGCGGGGAGAATATGATTGGGAGCTTTTAAAAAGCAAAAAAGAATCATTAGATTAGTAGATATATATATATATATATATTTAGCGTCCACACCGAAAGAAGACATCATTTTTTTTTCTTTCGCTCTTAGTGGTGTAGCTAGGAAATGGCAAGTTCTTATACAAAATTTCATAAAATTACCCCTGATTTTCTAACATCGTACGCTTAGCCAAGCTGCAATGTAGTTTTTAAAGATTCTAGAAATACTTTGAGATGGTTATTTATCTATTGCAAAAAATGTTGTATCGTCAATTTTTGACCGATCTGACAAAATATTTTGACATTTTTATTCGAATAAAAGGAGATAGTTCATGTCGGCTGTCCTTTCTTTCGTTTTGAGGCGATTGAATGAGAAACAAAATGCAAAGTGGGAAAAGGATGCGGCTACGAAAATTCTTATTTCGAAAACTTTTATTCTATGTCCTTCCTGAAGATTCATTTTTCGAAAACGCCGACGAAGTAATGATAGACATCTGAAAGTTTCATCTAGGAAACAAGAGACTGTTCCATCTGGTTCTCTTATTTTCGAGAAGTGGCCAAAGGTCAAAACAGAAGTATTAACTTCCGCTTTCTTGAAAAGTATGAGCAAGAAATTTAATCCAAACTGTAAAAGAAAAAAGAAGCAAGTGCATATTTTGCATAAAGTTTTCGCTTGTATTGGTGAGAACTAGATTTGGAATCAATATTTACACGATTAACTCATTGGTTTCTTTGAGCATAATCGTCAGGCGATGGCCTAATAATTGTGCGATTGAAGCTGTACTTTGATGCAAAAAGTGCGCGACTAGCTACTGTTTGAAATTTAACAATAGTGCTCATGAGCCACCAGCTGTACATACACACGAAAGGGTGCTCATCGAACAGAAGTCTTTTGGGCCCGTCCGATGCAAAATACATTCGAGTGAGAGCTTAAAGTATTCGTGCTTTATTTGCAAGGGAATTAATTTGCCGTCACTGCCAATTGTCTGAAGATCATGACCATAAGGTTATTAGATTTTCATGAAATTTAGTTGAACGATAAACTTGAAAATGCAGAATCATCTTTAGAAGGAGCTTTAAAAAATTATCAGTTCAAATGAAAACATTAACAAAGAGAAAGTAGCCAATGCATTTGTGTGCATACGTACAGTAGTCGATATATATGAAAGAGAGCTAAAACAAGGTATTAACAAAATCGATAGTGATAATAAAAAGCAGTTGGAAGGGTATATAAAAATGTGATCAACATAAAGCTGAAACTAACTCAATATTGAACGTAATTTGCATATATTCTTATCAGCAATGACTACGAAATGTTACTACAATCGAAGGGAACACTAATTGACAACAGCAACAACCGAATTTCGAAAGACCTGGTACAGTCAAATCATCTGTCCAAATCAATCATTTTCAAACAACTGTAAATGATCCTCTTTAAAGTGTGAAGTCTGTTCAGAAACAAGGTAACTTATCTATTATGAAAATCGTTCCTGCTACAATGTGCTTGATTGGTCCAATCAGAAACGTACTGTGTACAAACGAGGTGGAGCATCCATTCAAATTTGTAGAATATGTACAGTTGAAAACAAATATGAGTGAGTCGTTGGGAATTCTCGAACGGAAGCACTTTTTCATGAATAACGATTGCACCATCTTTGTGAGGAGCCCGATTATCAATAATTATGCTTCATCTTATTAAGCTCAAATCGTGCAATAATTGAAGGAAAAAAAACATCGCCAATAATATTTAGCAGTCAATAAAATGAGAAATTGTAAATTGAACGAACAAGCATCAATATTGGTATTAAATTNTAAATGATCCTCTTTAAAGTGTGAAGTCTGTTCAGAAACAAGGTAACTTATCTATTATGAAAATCGTTCCTGCTACAATGTGCTTGATTTGTCCAATCAGAAACGTACTGTGTACAAACGAGGTGGAGCATCCATTCAAATTTGTAGAATATGTACAGTTGAAAACAAATATGAGTGAGCCGTTGGGAATTCTCGAACGGAAGCACTTTTTCATGAATAACGATTGCACCATCTTTGTGAGGAGCCCGATTATCAATAATTATGCTTCATCTTATTAAGCTCAAACCGTGCAATAATTGAAGGAAAAAAAACATCGCCAATAATATTTAGCAGTCAATAAAATGAGAAATTGTAAATTGAACGAACAAGCATCAATATTGGTATTAAATTAAGAAATTATACCGTAAGTTGGCACGCACGTTCAGATGAATTTCATTAGTTTCCTGATGATCAAACACTACAATGTCACGTCCCAATCTTTTGAAAGAAACAACATAAAAAAACTCTCAAAATAACTACATTTAAATAATATAGGCAAATCTGATGGTCTCATTAATCTTCATTTGACTTCTACTTCTGTTATATGGTAAGATCTATTTATGCAAGTGAATATATTTGATTGACTTAAACAGATGCAATTTAGCAAGTATTTAATAATCAACATTTACAAGGACAGTTACGATGAATATGCGCAAAATACTATCATGTTATCAAGCAAAAAAGAATGTTGAGGTAGAAGGAAAACCTGCGAACTTTTGAAGTAATGATATGTTTCAGATCCATTGATAGAACTCAAAATTACATAAGATCAGTTAAATCAAGATCTGAAATCTGAATAATCGATCTCAAAAAGACTTTTGTATTTGCCATGAAACTGTAATACATATATAGATCTATGAATACAAAATATTTTACCTTTCATTTCTGTATACCCATCAGCAGTTACCTAATAATGTGCCCTACACGTAAAGGA